TCTTCTAGGAGCTAGCTAGATCTTGAAGAAGTTACTTTGGCTTGGCTGGGACTTTCAGCTTTGTTCTTTGTGTCCTTGTTGGGGGAAGTTAAGGCTTCTTGCTGATTTAGTGAAGCTTTTACTGTTTCATTGGTCTGCTGAAGTTGTTTTTCTCCTTTTAGCTTCAACTTCTGCTATTTCTTTGTGTTCTCTGTAATTTGTTTGGAAGCTGAGGTTTTGCTACCTTAGTGAAGCATCTACTGTTGCTTTGGGTAGTTGAAGCTGCTAGTGTTCTTACTTCCCTTTAGATGGTGTTTGTGTTTGGCCTGGAGCCTTTTCTGTTGTTTCTTTCTGTGGTTGGAATTTGAACCTGCCTTGCCTTTCCCTATTGTTGGGGGTCCTGGTCTGGTGAAACATGACCACCCCTATTGATTCGGAAACTAATTTGCAATGGACCAAAGCCACCTATGCTGAAGTGGTTGGAAATCCCTACTCCCCTTTTCTGGATCCTGATTTACTAGTCTTCCCTCAGGAATTTCATAACACTGCTGCTGGGAGAGGATCTGCCTCTTGCATTCATCCTGTGGGTTCAAAAGATGGGGAACCATCTGCGATTTTCTCTTAAAAAGAGCTTGTTGATTTAAACTTGGAGGTTCAATTCACCCTAATTGGCAAATTCAGTTTAGGCCATCAAAAGATGGAACTAGTAAGAAAATATTTTGAATCTCTGAAGATTTCAGAATGGAAGCTAGGGCTGCTAGATGGTAGGCATCTCCTAATCCAGCTGACTAAAGAGGACGACTATGCCAGAATTTTTGCAAAGCAATCCATCATCATAGCTGGAACAGAAATGAAAATTTTAAAATGGTCACCTGATTATGATCCATCACGAGAACCTCCCACAGTGCCTATATGGTTTAAGTTACCTAAACTGCCTTCGCATCTATTTAAACTGAATGCATTGTTCATTATTGGGTGCACCTTGGGTACACCCTTGAAGGTTGATGCTGCTACTTTTAATAAGGCCAGACCAGCCAGTGCAAGAGTTTTAGTGGAAAGGGATGTCACCCTTCCTGATGTCAAAAGAATTTGGATTGGGGACAATCATAGGGGGTTTTGGCAAGAAGTCATCATTGAGCAAAGACCACATTACTGCCAACATTGCAAAATGTTTGGACATAATATGGAGAGATGTTATAGGTTGAAACCCCCCATAAGAAGGACTCACCAACAACCTCAACAGGAGTTGGAGGATGCCAATATCAATATCCAGGAAGTTGGAAATATAGAAGTACAAAAGAAGACTTTGATTGCTGAAGGGACTGATGAGTCTCTCACCCAAAAGGACTCACCCTGTGTGGCAGGGACAGTTAGAATTGGAAGCAAAGTTGCTGGCCAAATATCTATAAAGGCTAAGAAACTGGAGATCCAACCAGAGGCTGAGTCAGTGGGGGAGGAGTTACTTACCTCCCCATCTCCCAAAAATGTGAAGAACCCAGTGGTGGATTTAGCGGTGGAACTGTCCAGTCAGAAACTAGTAGAAGATATGAATAAAGAGCTGGAGTCAGATTGACAAATTCAGAAAGCTAAGAAGAAAAAGAATTATAAATCAGAAGGACAAGATCTTTGAAAAGGCAAGAAGCTTTAGGGTTTGGAGGTCCATATCAATCAGACAAAAATGGGTTCTAACAAAACTAGAGGGAGGATTAGGTCCAGGTCCCAACCTTACTCTTCTCCCCTTCCCCATGATTAATCTATTGTGCTGGAACAGTAGGGGGATTGCCCACCCCTTATCATTAAAAAGACTTAAATATCTGAATAAAAAACATAAACTTTGGTGTATTTCTATTTTGGAACCGATGGTTCATCTCAACACCTTGAAAATTACAAAATTCTTCCCTGGCTTCAATCTGTTTGCTAATATTAGCAACAAAATTTTGGTTTTTTTGTAGGAAAGATATGAAGTGCTCTATCTTGCTTAACCATACCCAAATCTTACATATGAATCTCAGTTTTATGGATATGGAAGTTTTTGCTTCTTTTGTCTATGCTGGCAGTTCTAAAGCAGCTAGAATTGATCTGTGGGAATCCTTGCAACTCATCCAAGGTTCAATTGACAAGGCCTGGCTGGTGGGAGGAGATTTCAGTTGTATTTCCTCTCCTGCTGAGAGGAAGGGAGGCAGACCTCCCAACCCCATCAATATATCATTCTTTAATGATAATATCAAAAAATTTGGGTTATTCGACCTGGGGTTTAGTGGTCCTACCTTTAATTGGAGAAGGAAGGATTTATGGGAAAGGTTGGATAGAGTTCTTGCTAATGACAATTGGATCCAAAAGTTCTTGCATGCATCCGTTACCCATCTAAGCCTAGCTAGCTCAGACCACAGGCCTTTACTGATCACTATATGAAATAAGCTAACAAGAAAAACTCCTTCAGATATCTGAATGTGTGGTCTCAGCATTTAAATTTCTTGAATATTATTAAAGAACATTGGAAGAAGGACCTTCACCCTGACCCCTTCATTAATCTTTGGATTAATCAGAAGAAGGTTGCCAAAGCTCTTAAGCAGTGGAGCTGGAACACTTTTGGAGACCTCCTTCTAATTGTTGATAAGGCTGAAAAGGAGGTAATTGAGCTAGAGGAGGACCATAGCAAAAGGAGGATTGATGAGGCTATTCTTTTTTAGTCAAATGAGAGCCTCTTAAATGCTATTCAGTGGCAGGACCATTTACTTCAACAAAAGGTAGCAAAAACCAAATTTGCTGAAGGAGATAGGAACACTAAATTCTACCATGCTTGCATTAAATACCAAAGGAAATGTAACACTATCCACTCTATCAAGGACCAGAATGGTACTTGGCTCAGGAAGGAAGAGGAAATTGCTGAAAGTGCTGTGCAGTATTGCCACAGCCTAATGAATGGGACCATCAGTGATAAAGTGCAAATTGACGGCAGTTTGTTTATTGATGGTAAGAAGTTCACTGCTAATCTGCATTTAAATGATATTCCTTATGAGGAGGAGATTAAATGTGCTTTGAATTCTATTGATAGTTCTAAATCTGTTGGACCTGATGGGTTTACTTCAGACTTCTATAAGAAGGCATGG